TATGAAAGCTTTTTTCTCTGTGTGTAATGGTGAAAATGGAGAAGGTTATACGTACATATATATATATATACACACACGCGTATATATATACATATATAGATACAGAAACCTGTATGTATTGTGTGGGAATGGGAATTACTAGAGCTAAGGATGTGTTGACTTGGCGTGCAGACGGTTGAAATTTTGTTTTTTTTTTTTTTCATTAAATTAATTTTAATATAAAATATTTAAACATAGATATAAAAAGGTGGAATGGCCATAAATCAAATTTCATCCTATCGAATCTATTTTAAGTTTGTTTGCTTTTGGGCAATAAATATTTTCTTCAATTAATGAATACTGATATTAGTTTTAATTTAATTTTATTTTATTTTTTCTATGAAGGTACAAATATGATGCTTCGAATTGAGGGTGGGGTGGGGTAGGGTAGGGTAGGGTTGCATAAAAATTATGAAACAAATATTAGGGCAAATGTCCCTCGTACTATTGCTAAAATAAAGTATATATCTGAGGTAGACTAAAAATACATGCATACATATGTATGTATGTATCATGGCTAGTAGACTTGTTGTTCTCAATAAAAATACAACATTTTTCTTTATAATTTTTTTTAAAATAAAAAATTTCTATTTAACTAAACAACATCGAAATAATTTTTTAGAATACATACTTTCACAATTTTCAATAAATAAAAAATAAAATTTAAAACTCTTAATTAAATAACAAAACCATGATAAATGAATTCCTTTTTTTTTTTTTTTTCTTCCGTTTGTAAAATTTGAAATTGGTATAACTACATTTAATTAACATATGATATTAATATATTTTATAAAACTATACGAACTTGCATTGTGTATAAATTATGAATATAATTAACTTTATATGTGCACCTATTAAATAAACGTATATATATTTGATGGAATATTATTTTAATTTTTAGAAAATGGTGACATAAGAATAATAATAATAATAATAATAATAATAATAATGAAAAGAAATAGCATAGCAGGGAAAAATATATTCATGTACCTTAGGGGATGAAATGATTAATGTTTTTGTATGCAGTCAGAGTTGTAAACGTGACTCTTGATAAAATTATGATATATTCTCATTGGTCAGTCCAACCTATGTACTGAATATTGTCCCCTCTTTATATGGTTTAGGGTTCACATTAAATTATTAATGTACAACACACACGTATATATTAATTATTATTTTTATTTAATTCAATATTATATGTATGTACATAATTAAATTTACATAATAAGTTTTGGGTGCTTGCATTTTAGCTGCATATATGATTACAGGTATATTTTATAAACTTAAATTTGGTATAATAAATTTTGGGTTCACATTAAATTTTATTTACAAACTTGCCGAAAGAAGTATTGATTTTTGTTTTAAACACAAACCAAACACAACCTTGTGTTTATAAAATTTTATATTTTTCCAAAATAATTGCCTTATGCAAAAAAGGCACAAATTTTCAATATATGTATGGGCTATAGCCCAGAACTACATTTTTTAATAATAATAATAATAATAATAATAATAATAATAATAATAATAATAATAATAATAAAATTAAACAGTTCTAATTAATAAAATTGTTTTATTTTCTTATTATTATTTTTGTAAATTCATGATTATACTGTACTTTTTATCAGAATCTTTATTTATTTAAGACAGTTTTGAATAAATGGTTAGTTACGATAATAATTGCTTCTTTAATAATATGGTTACACTAACTTTGTAATTACATTCCAGGAATCCATTTTCACTTATTATATAAATATATATTAAAATAATTATAAAAAAATAATTTGAAAATAAAAAAGAGTTTTTTTTTTTTTTTTTAAAAAAAATGATAATAAAAATAGTAAAAGAGATAGGTGCAACTGTACGTAGAGATAGAAAGATGTGTTTGAATCGCCTTTTCTCATTAATTCTGAATTATCTTTCTGGTAGTTTTTACATTAGGGTGTGTTTGGTTGGGGGTTTGGATTTTGAGTTGGAATTTGAATAGTAAAAATTTTGAATTTGAATAGTTGTATGATGCGATATAAATAGGTGTTGATGTGATGTTTTGAATGTAAAATTGATTTTTAGTATAATATAAAAAATAAAAAATAAGTGTTTGATTTGATGTTTTTTGGGGGAAAATTTTGGATGAATAGTAGAATTTTATTAAAATCCTACAAACGAAAATAAAATAAATAATTTCTGCCTCAACAAATAATTTAGGTTTGTTTAACTTTCCCTTTTTTTTATTTTCCGTCATTATATTTGACATTAAAAATATTATTAAATTTGTATAATTTTTTATTCAGATGTCATTATATTTGAATTATAAGACACTAATAAAAATATTTTTGTCTTTTTCATTTGACTTTTTCTACGTTTTAATATGATAATTAATATTAAAAAATAATAAAAATTGAATATTTAATAGATAAATTTTTCTTTTAAAAAATAATTTTATTATTAATAAATAGTATAAAAAATTTAAAAATGTACATGTAACAAAGAAACGGGGATGGGCTGATAAGCATATGCCACGCTTTTTAGGCACGAAGGACATCATATTTACTATGATATATAAAAATAATTAATACTTATTTTCATTAAAAATTTAATTTTATAGAATATATTAAATAAAAAATATTTGATTTAATATTTTTGAAATAATTTTTTTTAAAAAAAATTATGCAAAATTTAATTCAAACCCTTTAGTTACATTTTTTATAATTATAATTAATAATGACTTCGTTTATATAACCAATTTTCACATACTATTTATTTTTGGAAAATTATTACATAAAATATATTTTTTTCCCACAAACATAAAATAAAATACTTAATTTTTTAATTTCTTTTTTTTTTTTTTGGAAACCATTAGGGTGTGTTTGTTTGTGCGTTTTAGTTTTTTGGTTTTGATTTTTTAATAGTAAAAAATTGAATTTGAATAGTTGTTTTACGTGATATAAATAGAAGTTGATGTAACATTTTAAATTTAAAATAAACTTATAGTATAATATAAAAAAAGAAAAAATAATTGTTTAACTTAATATTTTTGGAGTGAAAATAAAATTTAAATAGTAAAAATCTATCGTAAATCCACAAAAGAATACAACCTAGTTCTAAAAATTTTCAAAAATCTCTGTCCAAAACAAAGCTTGAATGTAATAAATTCAAAACTAATAAATAAAATAATATTGAACATTAGTGTTTTTGACCCTAAATAAAAAACATGCACACTAAAAGTTGCAAATTATAACATGATTTAAACAATGACAAATTATTTTTAATTAGCTATTTTACTTTATTGTTAAATACTACTTGATTAGATGATTTAGTTGATTAATTTATAAAAGTTTTTAGGCATCAATATATCAATATTTGATAATAACTAAATTAGAATTGAGACAATATAATCTAAATTCATACATATAGTTACTAATTATGTGCAAAAACTCCATTTGAAAAAAAATAAAATAAAAATTCTATTTATTCTTTAATGCTTCGACAAGTTTCTTTTCCGAGGACATGATCATACATGTTACAAAAACATTTAACCTTATACGAAAAAATATATATATATTTATAAATATGACATCAAGATATGACCAAATGTATAATAAATATTAACACCTGACAAAGTGTAAATAAACGATAAATTTTTAATTCCTTTATTAAATATTGTCTCGAAATATAATCTCATGTATAATAAATAATAGCAATCGGCAATATACGAAAAACATAAATAAACAATTTTTTTCCATATACGACAAAATAATAATGTTCGTTGTATTAAAAATCGTTACATACTATTTTGTTGGAAAGATTTGGCATAAAGCCCAATAATGTCGCAATATATCTACATTGGAAATTTATATATTTTTATACGAATAACTAATTACATAAACACTTCTTTTATTGTGATCGACACATAAATACAAATTATGTAATGGTAGTATTTCTTTATATTTGCAATCCTAATTACATAAAGAGTCAATGTCTTTTATTTTATTTAATTATTGAATTTTAAATAATTTTATTTTGTATTTTCCGTTCGTGTCGTCTTAATAAACACGTGTAATAATATAAAACAAAAAATGAAAATAATTAATATTCTTCAACGAATATTATGTCGGTATATGATCATATGCATAATAAATGAATGCAACTGTATACGACAACAAAAAAATAATTACAACAATTTTTATTTGACAAATATTGCGCTGAGATGTGATCGAATGTAATAAACACACTAACGGGATACGACAATAATATTATATATCCGTGGTAGTAATGAGCTAAATTAGTTTTTGAATATCCACAATTTTATAGGAAAAAATAGGACATTAAAAATAATAATGTAAGTATAAAATTAATTTCATTTGAATTTGAATTTTAAAAATCCCAAAACAATCAAATACACCTATTATTTTCCACCAATAGTTATATTGAATTTCCAAAAATTAAAATCGTAAATGCTTGTAACAAAGTGAATTCGCCTTAGATATAGAAGTATTGCAAACATAAAATATTTATTTGCATATAGATGGATTGTAATTTTCCTTATAGTAAAAAGAGTTAAACAACATATATACTTACATAATAATTCAGAAAAAATTTAAATAAATAAAACCTTAAAATTCTAAAAATAGAAAATACTAAGCATATTGGTTAACGTGGGCCCCACCCTGGCTATGTGCAGACAAAGATTTCAAATGGCCCAGTTTTAATGTGTCAGGTATCCACGTCACTATTGTCGGCGCTCTGGACTCGAGATCCCGAAGCATCGCACCGTCCGCTGAAATTCAACGGTCGGGATTTTCTGCGGATCTGAAGTCCCAGGACTTCGTGTCGTAATAGAGTCCCTTGTAAGAGGACACGTGTCAGTCGGCGGCGCTGGTACCCGCATTATAAAAACAAACCTCGCCATTCTCGTTTCTTCATCGTACCTTCTTCTCCAGGTCAGAAATTTAATTTCATCAATGGAGAACGGGAGTGTCGTTTCGAATCCTAACGGCGTCGTTTCTGGGGGTTATGTGGCGGTCCCCGCCGTCCCGCCGCCGCCGCCGGCGACTAGGGGTAGGCCGCGCCGCCAGTACAATAGAAGGTACAGCGCCGCCGGGGACCGCCACACCATGGTTAACGGTCGGAGCCGCCGCATCAGAATTCCGGTGCACTGCGCCGCCAGGATTTTCCAGCTGACGGCGGAGCTCGGCCACCGGTCCGACGGCGAGACGGTGGTGTGGCTAATGCGCCAAGCTGAGCCGTCGATCCGAGCCGCCACTGGATCGGGCACCGAACCGGCGTTTTACGTGACGTCATCCCCTGCCCGCCCGGTCCAGGCGCCGCCGCAGGCCACCGTTCAATGCCCAGTGACGGTGTCCCCGCCGGCTGTCGTGGTGTTGGAGGATTATTTCGGGCCATTTGCGCCGCCGCCGGTTTCAGCTCCAGCCACGGCTCCGGCGCCGTTGCAGCCAGTCACTTTCCCGCCGTCGCAGGCGCCGGTGGCGGTGGATCTTTCTCTGAACGCGTACGGCCAGATTCCGTTCACGACTATGCTGATGCAGGCGGCGGCGCCGCCGCAAGTGGAGGAGGGCACGGCGGGCAGCTGCACCGCCGAGTGGTGGCAGAGGGTGATGAACAACGGGCAGATTTAGCCGGCGGTGGTGTTTTTTTAGGGTTTTTTAATAATGAATTGTTAGGGTTTCTCCAAACTCAGATGAAATTTGCGGCAAATTCGGATGAAATTATCTAATAATTAATATAATCTTTGTCATCACATGTATTCATCGCTGTTTTGCGATGAGGTTAATGTGAAGTTGGTGACATAAATTGACAGTTAATTTTGAAATTTCAATTAATAATTATGCTGTTGATTCCAATTAATACTAGTGTGGATTAACGAGTTTTGTTAGAATTGTAGCTGAAGGATATTAATAATATATTTAAATAAGCATTCTAAATTACTTTTGTAACTACATGTATTTATATCTAACAAAACAAACATGTCTTAATGATTGAGTTGAACATCAAATTAATAATTAATTTTAAATTTGCATATAAAATAAATATAATTTATCGGAATATATGGGTGCATTAATTAAATCTTATAAAATTTATGGCATGTTTGACAATTAGCTGATAGCTGTTGGCTGATTCAATTAGCTGGTTTGACTAGCCGATTCAATTAGTTGTTTGTATTAAAATGTTTGATTAAACAAAAGTTTGATATTAGTTGTTCAATTGAAGATATTTCTATTTTATTTTTGTTTTTAATATATTCAATTATGTTTTTTTTGACTTTGCAATGTTTAAAAAAATTTGGTTATTAATTATTGAAAATTGTAAAAGTATTATAAAAGTATTTATTTTTATTATAGTTAGATTTAAAAAATAATATATTTTTATTAAAATATATAAATAGTTTTTTCTATTGAAAATGATGTAAAATATAAAATAAAAAATTTTTCGTGTATATATTTATTATGTTAGTTATCGATTAGTTCATTATATTTATAATTTTCAATAAATTTAATTTATTTAATTTATTTTTAGTATAAAATTTATATAATATAATTTTAATACAAAAATAAATTATTAATATTTATATTTTTTATTTTATGTTGATTTTAATAAATTTATATATTTTAAAATTAAAATCATTTTTATATAAAAATTAATTATTTTAAATTTATAAAAGTAAAATTATAATATAATAAAATATTCTAATATAATTAATAAATAATCAAAATATATTTATTTGTGTAAAATGCATAATAAATTTTTAAGGGCATATAAGGAATAAAAAAAAATTACACAAAAAACTATTTCAAAATGCTGGGTAAGTTAACTTTTCAGAAATTAGTTTTTTGGGTCCAAAAAACTATTCCAAAAAACTAATTTATCAAACACTTAAATTAGATTTTTGACTAATCAAACAGCTTTAACTATTTAATAAACTAAAATCTCTTCAAAAAGTCATTTGCCAAACAGCCCTTTAGCTTTTATTTTCTTTGATGGTTTATCATTGTAAATAGTATATATATATATATATATACTTTTTTCTTTTTTCTTTTTTCAATAAAAAAATATAAATTTTACATATAAAATATTAAATCACCTGCCATTTAATTTATATATACATATAAAAGAATAAAAACTTACAAAACACAAATCAAAGTAGCCTACATGCAAAAATATGGTTATGTGTGTATTATGAAATAGTATAATTCATTATTATTTATTTAGGATATCGAAAATACCCGACATAAATACATCCAAAATAATATGCAATATTTGATCATGTATAAGGCAATATTTTGCGACGATTAGCGGTAGACTTGTTCAATCGAACATAAATAAAACCGTAATATTTCATTCTTTCAAATACTTAACATCCGTCTATATTAAATTATCTTAAGTTAATGCTCGTGTTAAAAACTTATTTTGCCCTTCATCTATTTAAAGATATTTTTAAAAATTTTAGTCCCTTTTAATAATTCAATATATTAAATATTATATTTATATTTTAACAGATACTTCCCTCCATACTACTTGATATGTAATTGTTGAATAAGAGTGAATTGACCTTAAATTACAATCAATAGAGAGAATAATTTAAATGTAATTATAGGTAAAAAGTAAAAAATGTATTATATTGATAAGTCTAATCTATATTTGTTAAATTAGAAAATAAATATATTGATAGTAAACAATCCAATATGATCGAATAAATACTACTCCGTCCGTCCACAAACTAATGTCCTATTTTCTTATTTGGAACGTTAAACAACTATTGTCCTATTTCCTTTTTTAAACACAAATTTTACATTTTTATCTTTCATTCGTTTATTACTTTTCATCTCTACCATACAATTAAGGGCAAATTTGTCAATTCATAACAAAAAGACAATCATCTAAAAAAATCGTGTAAATATACTTTAGGATAATAAAAATTGGACGAAAGGGAGTATTAAAGTAAACACATTCACAATTAAAAAGTAAATTGATAAATCAGTTGAAGCCAAAGTTTATTATATTGAATTCATTATCGAATATTCAAGTAAGTTAAATCTATCGCAGATAGATTAAACTTTTTTGTCTGGTATTGTTAAAACTCTTGATATTATGTTGAATTTATTATCGTATGTTCAAGTAAGTAAAACCGATTGTAGATAGATTACACTTTTGTCACCTATATAGATATTTTAAAACTCTTGATATTATAATGAATTTATTATCGAATGATCAAGTAAGTAAAATCGATAGCAAATAGATTAATTTTTTGTCTACATAGATATTTTAAAACTTTTGATATTATTTATCAATAATAACATTTTTAAAATAATATTACACCATATACTTTTAATACCTTACAAAATATCAATTAAAATACTCATTTTTTTTATTATTTTAAATTTTTTATAAAATTATAAAATTTCTACCTAAACTAAGTCACATCACTAGATAATCAGTGGGGGAGTGTATAATAATTTTCACAATTTGAGGGGCTAGTCGCATCACTGGATAATCAATAGGTAGTGTAAAATAAATTTCAATAATTTGAGTAGCAAATTGAAAATATTTGTAGTTTAGAGGGGGCAAATGAAATAATTGACACTGACGGTTATAATAATAAAATAAAATAAATTTAAAATGGAAGAACACCAAAACGACGCCGCTGCAAAAGCATGAAATCGGCGTTTCGAAGCGCCATTGAGACGGCCGCGCTCACATTTTCTCTCCGCTCCTCCATAAACCCTAGGGCTCTCGGGAATCCTCTCGTTCTCCGGCGGCGGCGCGCAGCTTCTCCGACCGTCCATTCTCTGTTTGCTTCCATGGCTCACGGAGATTCCGGCCCCGGAGAGCCTTCGCCTTTGGTCTTTTCGCTGGAGAAGCAGTTCGAGGAATTCCGACACCAGCTCGATGATACCGGAGCCCTGCGTGAGCGTATACGTAATGTTGCTACGGAAATCGAGTCCGCCACGAGGATAATGCACTCGAACCTTCTGCTTATTCACCAGTCTCGCCCGCTCCCTGGTGCGTTTCGTGATTTCTAATTTTTGTCTTTCTTTTGCTTGTTTTTAATTGTTCCGTTTCCATGGATTTCTTTAGCTTCAGAAACAGTTTGATTTAGAGACGGAAGAATGAGTGTAATCAGGCCAGAGAGTTGTGAATCTACTATAGTGTTCTGGATGTATGTTATAAAATTATCCTCAGTTACAGTAGCGTCGAGATTTGTTCGATTCGAAGGGAAATAAAAAATGGAAGAGTTATTCATCCTTTGTAGTAATTGTTGTTGGTTTGTATTTGTTTAATTTTTCTATTATTGTTATTAACAGTTGATTCTTAAACAGATATTTTGGAGAAGGCGAGAGGCCAAATAACTGTACTGAAGGATCTTTACAGTAAGCTTAAAGAAACTATCAGTGAATGCCCTAACCAGTATTACAGGTGAGGAGGATAATCTGTTGTCTCTGAGAACTTAGAAGTGTTCATTTGTAGATTAGTAATCATATTATTCAATCCAGATTCCATGGCGATTGGCGAAGTGAAACTCAAGCTGTGGTGTCCTTGCTTGCTTTCATGCATTGGTTGGAATTCGAGACTCTTCTTCTGCACAAAGAAGCAGAGGAAAAACTAGGCTGTATGATCCCCCCACTACTTTAAATTTCATGATAAAATGTGGATTGTTTTTATGCTTCAGTTTGTTTATTTTTTGTAAAAATTTTACACTGGTTTCTTATATTGAAAATTGCAACTGAAAGCAGATTTATAAATGAACTAGAATTTGGATGCTCAAGCATTACTCCTTAAATTGATGAATCTGTTGGAGTCGCCGAATGATATTTTTTGAGTTCTGATATTCCTCTTATTTGTCATGATCACAGTAAATCCTTCAGAGTTTGGTCTCGACACTGAAGATTATCTTGTAGGTAAGAATCCAAATTCTGGTTATGATATTTGGTTATTTCGTTTGATTCATATGTGGTAGCTAACAAGTGTAGATTCTATTCTTTGCTCATTTTGAGATAATTTTTCTTTGGTAGATTTGTGAGTACATAAGCTTCTGCTTAGGAAATAGAGAGTTTCAGAAATCGAATTCATTTTTGGATGCTGCTCAACTAAATGTTCTTGAAATTCTTCAAATCATTTTTCCTCGTTAATTTAGTGGTGTCCTCTGTTTCATATCTTCCTCTACTTTTTTATCGATTTTCTAACCTGGCATTGTAACTTCTCTAGTGTCACATGTTTCTTCTTGATTGCATAAGTTTAAGGTGCGGCTAAAGTTCTAGTTCTTCTATCAAGTGTTTCATGCCCAAAGTTTACCTCTCTGTGAGCATCAAGGCTTGTGCTAATGTCGATATTTTACTGCTTTACAGGAATTTGCTTTATGTCCAATGAAATGGTAAGCGTACTCAAATTATCCATTTCTTGCGACATTGAAATTATTTTTTTTGAATTATTTGAATCTAGTTTTGATGAAAAACCACTCCGATTTGGTGAAATGATAGTTGAAGAATTTAATTTTCATTTTGCAGCCTAGGTATGTTGTGAACCAAGTGACTGCGGGAGATTATGACTGCCCGCGGAAAGTTTTGAAGTTTCTGACGGATCTCCATGCATCATTTCGGATGCTCAACCTCCGAAATGACTTCTTGCGCAAGAAGTTCGACGGTAAACCCATTTTATGTTTGTTTGTGTTGTACTCCTTATGATTCTCTCTCTCTCTCTCTCTCTCTTCTTGGAACTATAGCTGATGAATAAAATATGAATCGGAGCAGGAATGAAGTATGACCTGAGGAAAGTGGAAGAAGTGTACTACGACGTGAAGATCAGAGGGCTGATGGAGAAAGGGAACAAGACTAAGTCGGAGGAGCAAACATAGAGATGATGCGGAGTTTGATTCGACCACACTCAGGTACGTTACGTATGTTGAGTCAAATGGTTTGTTTTCTTTGCTGTTATCCGCCTGGGAGCGATAGAGTGTGTTCAACAAGGGTTTCTAAAAATTATACTAATATATAATATATACACATTTAATAATGTATATGATTACTTGACAAGCCTTATATAATGGGGTAAGCCCAGTTATAAAATCAAGGGACAGCAGACAAATTTAGGCCCAATGTTTTAAATTTGATCATATCTTAGCCCGATCAAGATCCACAAAGTCATGACCCAGCTATAGTCCCAATAGTTTTAAATGGATTGGCATCCCAATCGACACGTAATGGATAAAATTTGGGCCGTCAATTTTGTTTTGGGCCCCGTTGCTATTACTAAGGGGTCTAGTATTTTATTTGGGCTCAAATTTCGCTTAGAGTTGGGCATTATCTGGAGTTCGGCTCAATTTACTCTCTACCTATTGGGCCATCATGTTATTCAACCTAATGGATTATGAATTTTGGGCCCAGAGCTGGTTTGGGCTGTCTATTCACTATGATTATTGGACCAAAAGAATGATTGGGGCCCTTCATTATAATTTGGCCCATTATCGAATTTGGGCCTTCTCTTCACTATTAATGGGCTCGGTATAATTTGAGCCGTCTCTTCACAATTATTATTGGCCCAACAGAATGATTTGGGCTGTTCATTATTATCTGGCCCATTATCTTTTTGGGCGTTCACTTCTTTGTTAATGGGCCCAAAATATGACTTGGGCCGCCTCTGCACTATTATTATTGGACCAGTATGGTTTGGGCCCTTATTATAATTTGGCCCATTATCGTATTAGGGCCTTCCTTCACTATCAATGGGCCCACAGTATGATTTGGACCGTCGATTCACTATTATTATTGGACCAACAGTATAGTTTGGTCCGTTAATCATTATTATTTGGCCCATTATCTTATTCGGGCCTTATCTTCACTATTAATGGGCCCACAGTATGAGTTGGGCTGTCTCTTCACTTATTATTGGACCAACAGAATGAAGTGGGCCCTTCATTATAATTTGGCCCATTATCTTATTTGGGCCTGATCTTCACTATAATGGCCCACAGTGTGATTTGGGCCGTTCTTAATTATAATTTGTCCCATTATCTTATTTGGGCCTTATATTCACTATTAATAGGCCCAAAGTATTATTTGGCCCATTATCTTATTTGGGCCTTATATTCACTATTAATGGGGCCATAGTTTGAGTTGGGCCGTCTCTTCACTATAATTATTATACTAACAGTACGATTTGGGCCGTTTTCATTATTATTTGGCCCATTAGCGTTTTGGGCCTTCTCTTAAATTTTATGAATGGGCTCATAGTCAATTTGGGCCGTCTTCTTCACTATTATTATTGGATCAACACTGATTCGGGCCGTTCAATTATGATTTGGCCCATTGTCATATTTGGGCCTTCACTTCAATTTTATTAATGGGCCCACATTGATATGGGCTATTTTAACTATTGTAATGGGCACAATTTCTATTGGGCCTGCTCTGTATTAGTAATAGCCCCAAAATTCATCTGGGCTCATTTTTCCTATTATAGATTGTATTTCAAATTGGATCCATATTATAATCAGTAACTGGGCCTTTATTTTAATTTTGGGCCAATAGTTTTCAACGCTCCTTTATTTCTTATATATTGTTAGCTTTTAAAAAGAAATAAATACATAAATCCGAATTGCGCTCGTACAAAAAAAAAATGAACAATTGGGCCTTGAATAAAATTTCTTTCAATACACGACTCGGACATGTTCCATAAATCCATACTGGCCTTCACTCACTCAGATTTAAAAAGGACAATGAAAACTCGCAGTCAGGTGATAATATAATAGTAATAGATACTGATCCGAATATCGAAAACGAAATAGAGAGAAATATAAGAATTAGTGTTATCATATCGTTCATATCAAAAAGCCAAAATCCGGAGAGCAAATAATAATAATGAAAACCATAGAAGAGCTCAGCAACTTAAGCAAAAATAACAAAATAGAGAGAGATATCTATCTCTATGTATCCATCCCTTCTCAAACCCCAACACCATACAAATTAAAACATGATAAGATAGATAGATGGATAATTATAACAATAGAGTGGGGATGGAAAGAAGGAAGATATTAATTCAGATATAGTTGAAATAATAAGATTGATTGATTGATTGATTATTTATTTGTGGAGGCAAGTGAGGGCGGGCTCACTTGAAATTGGGCTTGTCCGGGTAAGTGCAACCAGACCTCTGGATGATCACATTGGCTGCGTAACACCCTGCTCTCACGCACTCGTCTATCGCTTTTCCTAGAACCATCTGCGACAAAAATCCCCCCACAAATGCGTCCCCTGCAAACCACAAACTTATATATAACCAAAATGCTGTACTGGACACCATGCATACCAATTTTGTTAAAAATACCTTATACGGTTTTGATATTCTGGTATTTGGTATATAACCATAATTAGGTGTATTGATACCAAAACTATTATTTTTAAAATCTTTAGTTTCAATATTTCCACATAAAACAATATATATACAATACATAGTATATACACTACTAAATCAAGCAATATTTCATGCATTTAAATTGAAACACATGATGGATCATAGAATTTAAGAATGCAACCACTCTGGCAATATATATATATATATATATTAGGAGTAGAGAAAGCAGCAAAAAATCACAAACCTGCACCGTTGGTGTCAATGATTTTCTCCTTTGGGAGCGGAATGATCGGCAGCAATCTCACCTTCCCGTCTTCAGCAACCACAACAGGGTCCGCACCCTGTGTGATGACAGTAATTCTTTTGCGTGATTCAGATGCCTTTGGCAACTGAGATATTTTCAGGGCGATCTCTTCAACATTATCCGTCTACCCCAAAGAAAAAAAAAGAGTGAATTTAAGTACACAGTATAATTGAGCCTTGTGAGTCACGAAGCTGTTATAGTTCAATCATTACCTCCCAGCCATGGACTTTGGAGAAGGTTCTTGCTTCAGTTTCATTTCCAAACACATAATCAGCATACCTGAAAACGGAAAATAAATAAACAAATAAACAAATAAAAACATGGAAAATCAAAGACCAAGAAATGGGCCTTACGGTATGACTTTGTCTTGTACATCCTTGAAGAACTCACAAATGAATGGAGCAGAAAGGTTTGTGGCGAAAATCTACAGTTGAAGCCATGTTACTTGAGACGATGGCAAAGAAGTAAAAACTAGAAATGCAATGTAATGTTGAGAGATTGAACCTTGTTTTTAGCAGCCGCATGCTCGGCGACGAGCAAAACAGATTCGGGGGAAACCGTGAGGAAAAATCCAGCACTATAGATGTATTTAGCCTTTTCCACTGTAGAATGGTATGATGGGGTAAGTTTGATCAAGTGTGTGACAAAGTATTATTAATCATATTCTGACCATGCATACCTAAAGCCCAGTTTTCTGGCTTCTTCAAATGATCGATTTTGTAGCAATTTGCAGCTGATAGATTAGCAACAAGTGACCTGAAATGTATTGATGCAATGCATTGGTTTATACATTAAACACAAGGGCAAATGATCATAGGTTGGAGTGGAAAGCTGACCTTTCGTCACCAACAAGACATACAGCACAAGTACCGGTTGGCTTCTCATCCTCATGATAGTGAACCTAGTACAAAATATAATGTTTATGATTACAGTGATAAGAAGTGATGAATATTCAAAATTATGACCACCATCATGTATTAAAAAGAATGATAATTATAAATATGATAAATAGATAAGTTGCATAGGGTATGTAGCCATACTAATGACATAACTAGAAATTCACTAGTAGTCTAGTACAAAAGACTGTTAAATCTATGGAGCAACATGATGAGCCCGTGACAAAATATTCCTTTATAAGCAAAAACAATGTGAATGTAAAGATGCTGTAAATGCACAAAGGATTATGACACAAACAAAAATAGGAATCAAAGTGAAGCAAAATACTAACCTTAACACCAGCTGCGGTTGCATTTTTTTTCATTTCCTCCCCATATTTGTCCTTCCCAATGGACCCTATGTAAGCAGTGGCCCCAGGAATTTGTAGCATCCACTGTACATGGCAACTTCAATGTTGAAGTCTGGTTTGCTATGAGTAGTTGGCAAGTATTATAAATCAATAACAGAAAACAACAAAATGTAACCTGGGCAACCCTGATTGAATTTTGAGTAGCCCCTGCATAACAAAAGTATGGAGGTTAATGATAGTTGTGATTGGTAATTAGCATAATAATCAAATGGAGATCCCAAATCTGATATATTTACCTCCAGCACTGTACTCCACATTCCCCTTTGATATCATCTCTTCATACCTGAAATGTAAGCGGGGATCAGGAAGTATAGTCAATGACACCCTTAAGATGTGAAAAAAAATTCTCATGGGAAAAAAAGTTTTGTGCCTAAAACTTATTTGTGTACTTTTTAATGAAAATAGATTCTAGAACATTCAAGCTTCACCTTAAAGCACAGCCAGATTGAACTTCAGTCGAAAACAGAAGAGTAATCTTTTATTATTGGAACAATGGCTTGTAGATCGGGAACATAGTTATCAAAGTTCAACAATTTGTTTTCAGAAGTCATGGCATAAAGTAGGAGATGAGAATCTACAGATAAGTGTAAATCAATACCGCCATGGATGCGGAAGAAAATGTTAATTAGAATCCAAAAATTATACAGTACGTTTGAGTGTAATACAATTTTCAAAATCGTCGAAATGCTGGCAATCACAAAGTACAACAAACAACAGTGTCTGATAACTTTAGTTCCTACAGATCTGAAAACCTCTAAATTCAAAGCTGTTAAAAGACACGTGGTAGAAAAGAAAACAATCTACTCACATAGGCAAGTGCTTTTCCTCCGCAAGAATTGCATCGTTCGATTTAAGACCATACCTGTCGCGCAAAACGAATAACAAAACAATCAAATCAAACGCTTCGAATACGAACAGATTTGTTCGAAATTTCAAATCACCAAATTGATTCACTGAAGTACGAATGCAAAATCTGAGATCTACACAAAAACAAATACAGAAACAGCTACAACAATGCACATCAGCATTCAACACCGGAACTCTCAACATGAAAACGGATCCACGACGCTAGAAGCTAAAACAAAATGATAAACATTGAAATGCCGAAATCGAAGAAACAAAACCATTAACAAACGCGGTTTTGAGATTTACTTGCTCAAAAACTCCGGATCTACCGTAGCAGAGATATCCAGAAGCGGATTGCCCATCCCCAGGAGAATTCCTTCGTACTCCATTTCGGTTTCTTCGACAATCTGAGATCGAAACACGCGAAAAAATTGTGTATCGCCGCAGCGGATGGGAGCAAGGCTTTTCAGTGCTGTTGAGGTCGGTTAGTATTTATAGGTGTATCTTCACTGCATTTTACATTTTCATATTATTGTATATTTATTTCATTTAATTAATTAGGCTTCACATGTATAAGTGTTTTGCATGTTTTTAGTGTTTTGAATTATTTTATTTTTAAATAATAAAAATTTAAATGTATATTCTTTGAAATTGTTTTTTTTATATATAAAATAAAAAATAAAATACAATAGATGTTTATTATTCAATTTTTTTTCTAAATATCAAATTAAATAATTATTTTATTTTTATTATATAGCATCAAACAATTTTAAAAATTAAATTTTTTAATATTAAAAATTCAAATTCACAAACAAACATATTGAATTTGCTTTTTATATAGTAAATTTGGAATGATAATAGTAATTTTATTTTATATTATAAATAAGTACCATTATAATATATTAAATGTGAAATTAATTAAATATAATAAAAAATGTAAATATTCAAATAGTATGTTTAAAAAATAAATAAAATCTAAAAAGATAGTAATTTTTTTTTAAATTTTTAAACTAAACAGAGCCTACATACTCTTTTTTAGAATAGTATTATTTCAATCAACTTTTATTTAAAAATATATTTTTTTTATTATATTAAAAATAATTATATTTGTATTAAAATATATTTAATTTTTATATAAAAATTATAATTATATTATTACATATATAATTTATACCTAAAGAATTGGACAAAGACATATATAAAAATAAAATAAATAGTGGTTTGTGAAGGTAGCAAACTATCCATGATGAACGGTGTAGATTCAGCCACGCTAGAGCCTATAAAATCCTTCAGCACCAAAGCAACCACGCATTTCACCAGATCTAGCGTTAATTTAAATTATAGAAGTGTAAATTAATAAATGTAGATTTGATTGTTTTTTTGTTTGGACAAATAACAACAAGTGTGGGCTTCAATCAGCCCAGCAAAAATACAAAATGGTCCACAAATAATAATAGGATTTGTTGGACACGTGGGGATCAAGGCCCTGCTGCCATCACTGTTAATTTATAGTTTATCGTATTTAAAGAAAAAAATATATGTACTTTCGTCGTCTACTAAAATTAGCCTAAGAGTTCGGCACTAAAATTAAAAATAATATATATTTTTTATTAAAAAATTATTTCTTTTGTCTTAAATTAGGTGCAATATTTATTTTTTAGACGAATTTTTAAGTGGACAGTATTACCTAGATAATTTAGAAATTAGATGATATAATAGAGAAAAAAATATATATTTTATTTTTTTATTATGTAAGGGTATAAAGTATGGATTAGAGATTAAGTATTTTATTTGGGAAGGAGAGAATAATAGATAGTTTAAAGTATTTTTAAAAATTTAATTTAAAAATTAAAATAAAAAAATATGATTTAATAAGATTAATAATATTTGTTGTAAATAATTCGATATATTTATGTGTATAGTTTTTGCAAGAAACAGATAGCTATACATAGCATTGAATTAGCGACCACCCAGCCATTGGCGTAAAGAGTTGGGTGTGACTATCGTATTCATGCCTTTGTGGATCTATTCAAACCTAAGAAATTTCTGTAGAAATTTTCACCAAGTCCAACCGCATCGTGGCGTCATCTCGTAGCGTATGCCAAGAAAACAATGAAAGGAGGGGACAATTGGAGGATTCCTGATTCGTACCGCATTAGGTTCCATCGATTGCCACGTCTCTGATGCAATTCCATCGGGTGGAGCCAGCTGGAGGATCTCCTTTTCCGCAGTAGCGTATTAATTTATAATTTTGTTGATTTGATTCGGGCAACTTTGGGCGTGATTCTCGATGTCGCATGTTAAAGTAGGTTGTCGTTGCGGCATTTGATGATCGGCGAAAATGAGTTTTTTCGATAGTTTGTTGTCGGTTGCAGGATTCGCCATTGGAATGCCTATTGGCCTTGTTTTGGGATTCTTCGTATTCATATACTTAGGTGCCAGAAATGTTGAGAAGGTGAGCTCGTACTGCTACATAGTTACTTACTATTTTATCGATTCGTTGGAAATTTTCAAGAGTTAACTCTTGTTTCAGCTCATAGTTGAGGTTTGTTCATATAATTATAGGTTCTCGATATTTATATAGCAGTTACAAAGGAATCATGAATTAGGATTTTGCACATTTTCTGTACAAAAATTTGATTCATGATAAAGAACTTGTATGAAATTTTCAGAATGAAATTTTGATTCAATATATAGCAGTTACAAACAAAACATGAATTATGATTTTACACATTTTTCTGTATAAAATTTTGTTTCATGATAAGAAAATTGTTTAGTCTGACAATGAGCTGCCTTAGTGAATCAAACGTTGTGATGAAGAATTTGTTCATAGCATTATCATTGTAGAACCATTTCCTGTTTTAGTATTCTGCAAGGATATGAAATTCCAACTAAAGATGTGTAGCTAAGGTTCTTGTATCCTGCAGGGCGTCCCTGTGGCACAGCCACTCGACGAATTGAGTACAGACGACATAATTGATCTCCTACCGGAACTCCCATTATGGGTGACCGGGCCAGATTACGAGAGAGTGAGCTTTTTCAATGGTTTCTTTTGTGGTTCGAGTCGAGGTTTGTTGTTTTGAATTTGAGTTTTATCTGCAGGTGGATTGGTTCAACAAGTTTTTCCAATATATGTGGCCATATTTCGATAAGGTAACCATATTATTTGGCATTTGAGGTCGTTACAAGAATGCGTAATTCTTGCATCGATTCAATGGAGATCGATGGATACTCATTCTAACTGTATCCATATGGTTTAGGCAGCATGTGGGATTATCAAAACTTCAGCAGAAGCTACCTTTGCAGAGTACATCGGCAAATACTGTATAAAATCTATTTATTTCAAACGCCTCACACTAGGAGATTGCTCTCCCAAAATTCAAGGTAAGCAAGAATCGAGATGATTATTTCTTCTAAGTGTTTGTATGCACGATGTAGGATTAATAGCCATCAAGAGAAAATTAAGCAACTGACATGATTTAGCAAAGTATTTCTTTTGTAATGTGCATTTTTGTTTATTCGATCTTAAACTTGTGTTGTTACTATTATATAGTTTTACTATACATGATTGTGCAATCCATCCTTTAATCAGGTTTGAAAGCTCAAGATTCCAGAGAGAATGAACTCGTTCTCGATCTTTCACTGAGATGGGCCGGAAATTCTGACATTGTTGTCGCAATAAAATTGTTGTCTCTGCAGCTCACTGTCCAGGTTAGTATAATTTAAAAATGGTTTAGCTCCAAAATTCGAATATTTTAGTAGTAAAGCTATGAATCTCATTTCCATCGATATCCCTTGTATTATTTCTAAAATATCGAAATGAAATGGGAGATTATAGATTATTTGTTATATAAACGTTTTTTTTACCGTAAACCAATTATTACACTACCGTTTTTGAGATTAGGTTACTTTGTTTTTAAGGCCAGTTGGTTGATGTTCAAATATCGGCAGCTGTCAGGATGGTTTTGAGACCTTTTGTGCCAACATTCCCTTGCTTTTCAAGCATCGCAATTTCATTGATGGAGAAGGTAAGACGCCTTCAAATCTTGTCGTTATCAGGTTAATTTAAGAATCCCGATTGTCTTATCCTTGCAAATTTGCAGCCGAAGCTCGACTTTGGGTTGAAAGTCATGGGAGGAGATATGATGTCCATACCCGGCATTTATCAGTTTGTCCAGGTGTTGTTTCAATGGACATGTTTTAAATATACATAGACAACCAAGAAATCACAAATTTGATGTCGAATGTCTGACTGCCAGCTCGGGCTTTGTTTTCCTACAGGAAATTGTAGCAAAACAAGTTGCAAAGCTTTATATGTGGCCACAAACCTACGAAATCGATATCCTCGACAGCTCGATGTATGTTCCAAATTCATTTCATGTCTTGCTATGTTACTTACAACATTTGTAATGCAGAGGAGCTGCGAAGAAACCCGTCGGAATACTCCATGTCAAGGTTGTCCGAGCCCAGAGTCTCTTAAAAATGGATTTTCTCGGCACATCCGATCCCTACGTCAAACTCAGCCTCACCGGGGAAAAGCTCCAGTGGAAGAAGACGACGGTCGTGATGAACAACTTGAATCCCGTATGGAACGAAGACTTCAAGCTGATCGTAAAGGAACCCAAAATCCAAGTCCTCCAGCTGCTCCTATTTGACTGGGAAAAGGTTTCATCACTTGTTCCACGAGCATTTTCATTCTGTGAATTCGATTTACTTAGCTGCATTTCACGGCAGGTTGGCGCGCACGATTATTTGGGAATGCAACTCATTCCGCTGGATACGCTCGTTCCATACGAGAAAAAGGAATTCGCTCTTGCATTAATACACAGCATGGACCCGAACGATGCCCACAATAAAAAGTCGCGAGGCCGGATCACCGTGGAGTTGACGTTTGTTCCATTTCTAGAAGATAGCAAGAAATTCCACGCATCGCTGAATTTTCGAGGGGATGAAAACTCCCCCAGGCTCAACGAGGACATCACCTTGAGCGGGACGGGTTTGCTTCTCGTCACCGTTATAGAGGCCGAGGATGTGGAAGGAAAGCATCACAATAATCCGTATGCTACGGTCATCTTTAGAGGCGACAAGCGAAATACTAAGGTAACTATTTATAGATTATTATTTTTTTCGAATTTTTTTGTATTTTTTATCGATAGTATTTTCGTTTAATATCAATTTTATAAAACATCTTGTCACTATTCACTCTTTTTAAAATTTTTCGAAGCTAAAAAACTTATATATAAGGGGAGAATATTCTTAGTATAGACCGAATAATCTCAATCAGCACATTGTTATATGTTATGTTTATATTATATTGACATAAATTATTTGTTATTTATATATACAATATAACGTTAGTAGGATATCATTCAGCATCTTAACAATTGCTTTAGAACTATAAAAAATCTACTAATAATAAATGATTGAATAAAAAATAAGTATATAGTGTGATATTTTGAATAAAAGAATAATTTTGTGTAATATTATAAGTTCAAAACTCACATTCAAGTTTTAGCACGTTTGTTCGTTGCATGATATATTGTTAGACTATAAAGAAAACTCGGGATCCCATATGGAGCGAGGAGTTTCAGTTCGTTTTGGATGAAGCTCCGGCGAATGATCAAATCCACGTCGAAGTCAAGAGCAAGAAGAGATGGCTCGGGTTTATGTCTAAGGTCCGTAAACTTACCATTACATTAGTTCGTTTGGTCCAATTTCGATTTCGATTTTTATTTCAATTCTGATTCTAAAAGAGCATTTGTTGGATGTAGGAATCTTTGGGGTATGTGGATATTAATCTGGCCGATGTTGTCAGCAATGGGCATATCAATGAGAAGTATAATCTGATCAACTCAAGAAATGGAATTATACATTTGAACATTAGATGGAAAGTAATCTGAGTGTTGGTAATTAAATGGTCATGTAATTTTATTATTCTTTCTTTTATATATACATAGAATGACATAAATCATACTGTTTCCGTCCGGGTCTTGTTTTGTCATTATGTTAGGATAAATTAAAAAATAAAGTTGAAGCATTATGAAAAAAATTATTAAAGAGTTAATAAAAAAAAAATTGTTGTAAAATGATCGGTATTTGTTAAAGTAAAATAATAAAATTGTAAGTTCCATAAAAAAAAATTTATAAATAAATTATGTATAAATTTAAGGGACAGTTAAAATATAAAATGACATAATACGCTATATATTTAAGGGTGGTGCTATTTGCGGTTGTTTGTTGAATATAATAATTTTGTAGAAAAGAATAAATAAACAGTAAAATCATTATTTAAACAATATTTTGTAAGATTAAATATTATATTTTTATTAAAAAAGTTTAACGAATAAATAATGTCGATTTAACAAAATGATAGGCTCAAGTAAGAAAACAAAATGAAAATTAAAAGAATAATTATGGAATCATAATATAATGGAATGGAATGGAAGTGTGGTTAGAAAAGCGAAGGACAGAGATTCTGGTGCGAAGTGGTGAGTGGTTGCGACAAATCGGAGACGTCACTTTCCCAGTGAGTAACCGACACGTGTCCCACAGGCCACCTGTCCCTTTTGTTGTCCTGTTGCACCCGTCAATTTTACCCCTCCCCAATTGCTCTTCCCCACTTCACCATCACTCTTTACACTCCCAGCCCCATGTACATATTTTCTGCTATTCATCTCATATTATTCAATCATCTACTAATAGGATAGCAAAGGGTTCGAAATTCGACTCGGACCTAATCAATTTATTTAGAATCAAGTTTAATTATTCGGATATTGAATCCGAATCGAGTCGGGCATTGTGTATCTTTATCGAGTTTCGAGTCCAACATAGGACTCTATTCAAATCCAAACATGATTAATATATTAATTATATATATGAAAAAAAAATTAATTATATAAATTAAGTTAAAAATATATTTTTAGTTTAATTAATTTATTATAATATTTTTGAATAAAATATATAAATTTTAGTACATGTCTACTCCGGATCCGTGTTTGGGTCTAATTTTAAATTAAATTTTAAAAATTGTAAAAGAGTTTTTGAGTCTGTGGGGTCTATTGAGTATTGTTCGGCTCGGGACTTAGTATAGTCAGATCTGAATATTATCAGGTCCAATCCGAATCTCGAATCCAACTGAACTCCACCTATTATCATTCCTATCTAGTACTATCGAATACTTTTTCTATTCGATTTTAAAGTATTTATTTTACTTTTTTTTTTTTTTTTCAAAACAAAAGTAGCTATTTTTTTTTTTTAAAAAAAAAATACTTTTAAATTAATTAATTAAATACCAATCAACACATTTGACTAGAATGGGTGAAGTAACTTCCTTTTTTTAAAAAAAAAAATTACATCAAATTATTGATTATTTATATCAAGATTATTATATTATTTTTACAATCCTGAATTTAAAACAAGGTTTAATTGTAATAAATTTTATAATATACATATATGTATATAATATGCAATCCTGAATCAAAAACAAGGTTTGATTAATTATTCTAAATATAATATATAAAAAATAATTTGGATGTATTATTAAAAAAATTACTGATTAAGTTGAAAGATAATGATATATTAATTATTAATAGTTAGATTATGGTAATAAAATTATTTACTATACCAAAAAAGTTAACCGATGATAATAAAAACTGATATAAATATTTCAGATAAAAAAAAATAATATTTTATTATATATAGATAGAGTGTAATCAAATGTATGGACAAAATTATTCTTACAAATACAAATGAATAGTGAAATAAAAGAGTGATATTATAATAACTTATATTAAAAATTAGGGTATTTTTTATTATTTGAACGGAATCAATTTTCTTAAATTAAAATTCGAATATATTAAATTTTAGAAAATTTTAAATGATAAGAAAAATACTATTTTCGTCTTAAAAGAAAGCATCATTAATTTTGTGTGCATAAATATTTGAATATTAATTTATATATATATAATACAAATTAAGAAGAAAAAAAAATATCTATGAACCTCTTATAATACAAATACAATAATAATCATAAAATAAATTATTTAAATATAAAAATATTTTTAATGTTAATATTTTTATTAATCTCTTTTAAATGGAACGAAAATAATATATTAATATGGAATGAAAATAATAATAATAATAATAATAATAATAATAATAATAATAATAATAATTTAATTAATTAATTTGTATGAATGTAATTATGATGGAGGGATGGGTAATGGAATTAATTGTGGTTGGTCCATTTGTAGGATTAATTAATTAATTGGTGGGACTGAGCCAGAAGAGAAAGGAAAGCAAGGCCCTCCTCCATTAATATTCTTTATCATATATATATATAATACACATATACATATGCTGTTCAATTAGGTGCACAATAATTAATATTTTATAATTTTTTATAATAAAATAAATAAAGAGCTTCTACATACATTCACTCACATCACTTTCAATAAAAACGTTTCTTGTTAACTAACTCATCCACAGATGTGTTGTCGCACTTTCAAAAACACGACTTTAGATATTATAATTTTTTATTTATTTTTTCCTGACGCACGCAATCTTTGCTGGAAATATTAAATGCGCTTTTTGATATATATTCATTCATTCCCTTTTCTTTAATTTCGTTAAAATTAAATTAATTATTTAATTCCCATATATAAGCAGCCCATGCAGATGCAGCTAAGCTTTGGAACAAACAATGTGATTGTTATAACTCAACATTTCATATCATATAATTATTTTATTTTATTTATTTATTTATCCATTCATTTTTATTTATTTAGTGAATGTGTGTGTGTTTGAGCATCCCATGTGGATTGATGGGCTGTCTCACCATCTCTCCAGTCTAAAGATTATTCTTCTGTTCTTTTGGAATTTTAGTTTCAAATTAGTTTATTATAAAATTATTATAACCAATTATTCTAAGGCTTTATTTAGATAGAAGTTATAAATTTTTAGAAAAAAAAATTAAAAATAATAAATCATTATGATATTTTATGTAAAAAAATATATATATATTTATAAATAGTGTCAAATCTATTAATATAGCCTAAATTTATTAGTTTTAAAATATAAAAAATATATATACCTTATTATTATTGGATAATTGATCAGTTTGTTTGATTATAATTGTAAATTAAAATCAAATAATTCACTATGCATAATTTTTATAAATATATATTATTATTTTTTTATAAAATATCAACCAATTCACGTTTTAATACCATGTTAGATGATCATAATAATTTTATCACCTAAAAATCTAAATTTTTGAAGATATACGTCATTAATTATTTTTCTAACATAATAGGGTTAATCGACATGATCAAGTAGGTTCAATATGTCTCCTCACTTGTAAGAGGATATATGTCATCATATAAATTTTGAATATGAATGAAAATAAATAGGGATGATATAATTCGAACACGAGATCTATGACTTTAATATCATACTCTCTCTGTCCATTTACAATGTTTACATATTTCTATTTTGGGATGCCCAATTACAAAGTTAATATTTCATTAAATATCCTATTTTTTTTTCACAAATACTCTTACTTTACATCACATAATTACTTTTACACAAAAAAAAAAAGTAAAGGCAAAAATATCATTATACTACTTTTAACTATTCACTATAATTCAAATACTAAGCACCAAAAGTAAATGTAAACATTGTAAATGGACGAAGGGAGTATTAGATAATGTTAAATAACCAGCGAATTATTATTCGACTTTAATATATATATATGTTGGGAAAAATAAGTTGTTTCACCAATATACTTTCGAACACCGATTCAAATGGGCCAACTCACAAAGCGTGGCTATATCACAGTTGTAACACCCTACTGCTAAAGGAATGTATACGGAAAATATAAAGCAGTAAATGAGACAAGGGTTTGTTTACCCGGTTTGGATATAAACAATCCTACATCTGGGAGATACCTATCCAGGAGAAGTTCACTAATCAGTGCTGATTAAGAACATAGACAACCACAACTCCTTCAACTCATCCTCCTAACATGGTTTACCTTGAAAATTTCCTCCACAGGCTTATGTCGTCACAAACTCGTGCTGACAACGACCACGGAGCAGAGCTGCTCAGAATCTGGACGCCTCTCCTAATCGGAACTCCGATTTCTCCTTCCTCCGACGAGGTCTCCAGCAGGTAAAAGTGTCTAGCACTCACTCAATACATGGAGAAGAGAATGGTTGGGGTTGAGAGGATTTAACTCACTTTCTCTCACTATACTCCACTCAAAACCTTCCAATAACCAGACTCTCTCATCACAATTATCTATAAAGCCATCTTGTTTTGCATGTAAGACAAAATCAATTAAAACCTTTGCACATAAATGGAATGATGTATTCCTGCATAAAGTCTTTGACATGTTGACCATCCAAAATATCCATTTTTTTTGTCTTTTCTAAGCTTCCCAAATCGAGAAGAAAATACCCAACAGTGTTGTTGACAGTCTGTTCCAGTAACCAAACAAGACCACTTACGCCAAATGAAAATCTGAAAAAGGCAGCAGCAAGAAAGCAGGAAGAACCATACTCCAAAAAATAGTTGGAGGAAATATTGTTATAACATTCTCCCCCTTTTTGGCATATGGGACTTCGCCTAATGTGCAGGAGAATCACTCTCACACCAAACCAATCAATCCAATAATTCAACAGTAAGTTCATCAATTTGTTACATGCCAACAAGAACACAGGCAGCCTGGCGAATGGAATGGTTGTGAAAACATCAATTCCACAACCACTTAACAGATAATCAACAGCAGCAACATCAGATCACCAGGGCTCCCCCTTACTGCAAAAACAACAGACACAACAGACTACCCTTACTATGCACATCTCTCCCCCTCAAAGAGCAGATGCCAAAAAGATCAATGTCCTTAAAAACATCCTCAATTTGTTGATAAATGGTTGTAGCAGCAACATCAGCAACAACACCAACAAC